GCCTTACAAGGATACTTTTAAGGGGACTGAAAACTAAACAAACCTGAAATACCTTGAAAAGAATAACCTGTAAGGATCAGGGAGTGTGTTAGGGAGTTCTAATCTGATTTTTTTTTTCCTTTTGGCATATATTTGCTCTCCAGTGGTACTTGTTATCAGCCCACAAAGATACACTGGAAAAGTGCAGTAGTTCTGAAATACGCTCTACCTGCATGTAGCTCTAACCTGCATTACCCATTTTGTAATATTGGGTACATCAGTGCCATCTATTTATGTGGAAATTAGGACCATCGTCACTCTTAAACATCTCTCTTATCTCTGGTAAGATGGGGACAGAGGTAATTAGCTGTCCTCAGACTACCCGGTATATGCTCGATGTATAAATTGCCCATTCACTCAGATATGAATTATTCTTAACATGCTGTCCTTTGTAATAAATGCATCATTATGAACATGCAAAGGGATTAGGAGGGAAAGGTAGTGTGAGCCTCACCTTTTTTTCAAATAATGGATGAGCTATTCTGAGGTTTTTCCATGTCCTCAAAAGGATACACGTTGCCAATTTGCTACCGGCAAACATTTCCTACATTCCGCTTTGGCTGCTAAGGCAAGACTGATGCACTGAGTGTATAACGAAGAGCATTACATACATTGCCTTCCCTGTAAGATGTAAGATGTAACACGAAGAGTTATTGCCTCTCTTTTTGCACTGGACAGAGAGCATAACCAATATAAAAATGGGTACCCAAACCAGCTTATCCCACTAAAAGAGAATGGTGAGATCTTCAGAAGCACATCCATATCGCTCAGCTCCACTCCCATGCTCACCGTCTGCAGCCAAAACTAGCAGCATCCCACAGCTCTGTAGGATGGCCCATCACTTCTGCCTGGCACAGCCATCCTCATGAGGAAGACCTCCCTTTGCCACAGTGACAGTCAGGCTGTGCTCTGCTAGGACCTCATATTTATTTATAGCTCCCATTCTAGCGAGCGTAGTGGCTTCTTGTTCAGCGCAGCCCTGCTCAGACCCTGACTCCTTTCTCACGGTGGGTAAATTGCACTAATAGAGTTTGATCTATTCGAGCTGATCTGTTCAACACTAAACTTAGCCTGCTGCGTGGGGAAATGTCCTCCCCATTCCTGGGGTGGGAGGGAGGCAGGACTGTCCATGGTGAGCAGTGAGGCTCAGGCGCTTACACGCCTTCAACTTGTTCCATCTCCATTGGGCAGGCATGGTCATCAACACATTTTGGGAGCCTTTGCTTGCTTCTTATAGTTTCTTTAGCTAGCTGGGCTGATCACCAGGGGCTTGAAAAACCAAGCAAATAGTTGCATTGGTTTCTACAGGTAGTCTTTGACATATGTGTGTTCAAAAGCACTGCCCTGTGCATTTACAGCAGGCTCTGTCAGCCGCAGCTTGGACAACAAGCCTGTCCCCAGAGACTGATGCTTCCCAGAGAGATCATCATTGTGCTGTATGAGGGAGGCCAGCAGAACAACGTCCTTGGTAGATGACTGTGAACAATCTCAAGCAAATGCATTGCCCCCTTGTGCATAAATTGTGAAAGCTGTCAACCTGTCGTCTTCTTCACTTCTTCCTTCTGACAAGCAGTCTTACTTCAAAGGTTTCCATACTCTTTCCAGGTGTTACCAAAGTAACCAGGGACTTGGAGTATCCTCATTTTTGAGTGTCCATCTAGAGATGGTACGGTCAAAGGACTTGTTTTCAGCCCTGTAGTCAGCTTTTGCCCTTCTTAGTTTAGCACACAAAAAGCAAGGTACCTGGAACAAGTGCCGAGAGGGGTTGTAGAGTCTCCATCGTTGGAATTATTTAAAACTCAGTTGAGCAGGGACATGAGCAACCTGGTCTATATTTTATGTTACCCCTGCTTTGAACAGGAGTTTCTACCAGATGCCTTCCAGAGGTCCTCTCCAAACCATATTCTTCTAGATTCTGTGCTCCAATGGGCCAAGGCTGTGGTCCAGGGATTGGAGGAAGAGCCTGTGATTCTTGCTGGGGTAGGAACCAGTTTCTGCAGAGCTAGAACTGGAATACACTGACTTATTTGAAGACTTCTCTAACCTTTAGCCAGTAGCCATGATGGAGTGGTTCCAGCAACACTGTAGGACTTGCAGAGGGTGTTTTCGTCTCCCAAGTGCCCTCTGGATATTGTCAGCTCACAGTCAGTAAGATGGTGCTAGTGAGGAATTATGATGTGGAAGTGCTGAAGTTCCTCTCAGAAAGCTTGCACTCGGGTGGTGTATTGCTGCCTTGTAACCAGTGAGAGAGGATTGATGTAGCATATTTGACGCAGCAGAAAAATGATCACTGCTTCTTTTCTTGTACATAGGAGAATGAGACAGATATCTCTATAAGGCAGCGTAAAATGCCTAGACCAGGTCACATTACTCTTTTGCAGTTTTGTTCTCATGAGATGTTGCAAACAGACATTAATTTTAGCAGGATCTCTATGAAAAAAGCTTCCCCCCCCCCCGCCTAGGTTCCTGCTCTGTTCACTTTAAGAAGACTGTATCCTCAAATGTCTGTAAAAGCTTTCGGCCTCAGTTTTTCGTTAACTTCTCCGCCTTCTTTTTGCAGACATGAACGAGGAGCGGTTGGGTGATGCCAGTGGAGCAGACAATGCTGAGTCCTACAGTGACAAAGACACAGACCAAAGGAGTTCCCCAGACATGACTAAAGCCAAAAGTTGCTTCACCCCTGAAAGCCCTGAAATTGTTTCAGTGGATGAGGTTGGTTATGCAGTTCAGAAAAATGGTGGGAGCACAGAGAGCCGTCCAGACAGCCCCAAGTACCACCCAGAGCAGAACCACCTCCTGATAGAAGGTCCTTCTGGGACAGTTTCTTTACCTTTCAGTTTGAAAGCCAACAGACCTCCACTTGAAGTCTTGAAGAAGATCTTCCCTAACCAAAAGCCAACTGTGCTGGAGTTGATCCTGAAGGGGTGTGGCGGTGATCTGGTGAGTGCTGTAGAGGTTCTCCTGTCCAGTCGGTCTTCAGTGGCCAGTGGGGAGAGAACTTCTGCGGAATCTGATGGTCTTGTTTTGCCCTCCAACGGGCACATTTTTGAACACACTCTGAGTTCGTACCCTATTTCCTCTTCCAAGTGGTCTGTGGGCTCAGCATTTAGGGTTCCTGACACACTGAGGTTCTCTGCCGATTCCAGTAATGTTGTGCCAAATCCTCTGGCTGTACCTTTGCAGCACCCTTTCCCTCAGCCACCACGCTACCCACTGATGTTGAGGAACACTTTGGCAAGAAACCAGTCCAGCCCATTCCTGCCCAACGACGTCACCCTGTGGAACACCATGACGCTGCAGCAGCAGTACCAGCTGCGGTCCCAGTATGTCAGTCCTTTCTCTAGCAACTCGGCCAGCGTTTTCCGAAGCTCGCCTGTCCTTCCTTCCCGCTCGTCAGAAGATCCTAGGATCTCAATCCCTGATGACGGGTGTCCTATTGTGTCTAAGCAACCAATTTACACAGAAGATGAGTACGATGAAAGGTCTGATTCTTCAGACTCAAGAATACTCAACACATCTTCTTAGACTGACATTCAACAAGTGATAGCTAAGTGATACTTGCAGTGCAGCTGAACTACTGGGCCCTAAGAGGAGGGACACGTACTCTATGAAACCCTTGCAATTGTATTAAAAAATGACTTTGCTTGGTGTAGCAATAAAGACATAACTTATTTAATTTCTTGCACTTCACTGAATAATGCCAAATAGCAATACTCTGGCTTTAGTGCTGAGTGTGTGTTACAAAGGAAGACTTTACGGCTATCAGTTATGGGACTCTGGAAGACTCGTAATGGAAACAGAAGCCCAAGGTCTACTTTGTTCCTTAACTCAGAAAAAAATGGGGATGTTAAACTAGAATACTTGAATGCTGTTTTATAAGAGAGAACTCCTCAGGACGTAAGAAATCAAACAAACGTAGTTCAATTGCAAATGGACTAAAACAAGGACCTTACAATCTTATGCCAGTGATCATTCTTGCAGTGAAAGAAAAGGCAGAAGAAAGAAATATGCACATGAAACTAGCATGAGCTGCTTCTGTGCTGTTTGAGCTCGGACACTTTTCAGAGAAATAATATTTAGAGTTATTCTTTTCCTATGGCTAGGTTGAAACGTGTAATGTCAGTGTAAAACCAATTACAGCTGTGAATTGCATGAAGTGTATTGTGAAATGAACACAAGATTAAACATTGTCAGGTTAATGTAGCATGCTAAGGACTCTAGAAAAATAAACTAAGATGATGATCTTGGTTTATGTCATTTATACTGGGCAAATAACATTTCTGAAGATAGAGAGCTGATTAATCCTCAGCCAGGGTTAAAATGTCCAGCTCCAGCAACTGCAGTCAAGGGAAGCCTCTTTTTTCAAGTCCAGGTTCTGCTTCCCTGCCTTGTAGCTTGCAACTGAGATTAGGCAAATGTTGTCATCAGGGAAGCTGAGGTCTCTTGAGTATGTACTGCAGACACTTCCAAGCTCAGCCGAGTAAAGCAGAGCTTGCTACAGTCACAGCAAGCAGAAAGAAAAGGCTCTACCAATGCTTCAGTAGCGTCTTTTTTCCTATACTGTAGAAGTAGAAAAAAGGAGATAGGATGTAATAGCAGGCATTTCTTTAAAATAATGTTTAGCCAAATGGCAACTTCCCTAAATCTAGAAAAGTAATGGTTTGAACAATTTATTGCATGTTTGCATGCATTGATTACACTGCATATCTATGTGTGTCAGAGTAACATTAGCAATTACTTCTGATGAGGAATGCCACTAAATTAATTGTCCACTTACAAGTTTGTTAAGGTTTTAGTGCTATTTTTTTCAACCATTCACAAGTGACTGCATCTGCTTGACAGATGGCTTTTCCAAAACACACCTCTGAATGCAGATGAAATGGCCGTCCGACCTGTCAGGTGTATGGATTAGTCCCACACCTCAAAAACAATTGAGGCCGCCCTGAAGTTGGACTCTAAAGCAGATGGGCTTTAAAAATGTAATATATGTCAGGTGTGTTATCTGGTGTCATTGCTGATACGAATGCCTGTGTTCTCATTTGGCATTTCATATTTTGTAAGGTTTGTGCACCCAGTGAATCTTGCATTTCATAAGATTACTGAACACACACAAAAAGGAGAATAAAATAAATAATTTTATTTTCCTTAGGGGATAAATGAACAGAAAAATACCTTTTCTTGCATAATTTTACAACCTGTTCAGAAAAGCAATTTGTTGGTAGTGCTACAGAGCAAAGACATAAAGGCGGGGGAGGGAGGAAAGAAAATAGATTTCTTCCCTTATGGAAGTGTAAATGTGAAAACATGGGGAATTTTCATAAATGCAGAATTACAGTTTTGTACTGACAGATTTGCTTGCACTCACATGGCACTTGTAAACAAATTCATCTTCCAGCCACTCCAGAGAGAAAAGTAATAGGTAAAGTAGGCTTGATCTTGCAAACAGAAAGGGATGAGGTAGTGAAATGCTGTGCTCCAATGTCATGGACAAATTAAGTGTCAAAGTCTAGGTAAGAGCAGATATGTTCAGGAGCTCTGGTGTTGAGCTCACACACCAAGCAGGTTTCCCTCCAACAGAAAGCTTTGTATAGGCATCCCTGTACATTGAAGTAATGATTTTTTGTTTGTTTGTTTGTTCGTTTGTTTGCTACAGAGGGCAAATAATCTCCAGCAGAAAGACCAGACAGTGGTGCCTGCAACAGCTTGTAGTGACCTTACACGCTACAGCCTGTAGGTTTTCAGAGAACAGACTCTTGGCATCTTGGAATTGGGACACATCTCTCAAAGAAACGTGACCCTTGGCTAAGCTGGAGTGAACTATTATCACTCTAAATACTTGTGATGAAAAATGCCATTTCAGCACTATGATTTTTAATTAGATCTCTTTTGAGAAACTGTTTTCTGAAAAAGTAAACAAATTAAAATAATCCTTGTCTAGTGTTATAAAATATCTTTTGACTCAAATCACAATTCTCTGTTCTCTCTCTCTCTCATTTTTTCCCCCCCTAAATAAAGTAAATCTAAGTATGTTTGAAACAAAAAATTCAGGTTTTGATGTTGAACAACCTTTTTTGTTTGACCAAACAATATTTTGGCTGTCCAGAAGATTAATTTTACAAATAATATGGATTGGCCTGCAAGGATGTCTTTGAGAAATTACTTTATTCACCCAGTTGTATCTTCTGGGCTGGTACTATGTGCAAATATAATTTTTAACTTCTACCCACCACACAGCAAGGAAGGACCCCTTGGTGTGTTGGCAGGATGCCTCTCTGCCTGCACAGTGCTGGGACCAGTTCCTCTGACCCTCGCTGTGCTGGTGGGAGATGCCTGACCACCCACTCTGACCTTCGCGGAGTGGGCAACCGCGGGGTGATGGAGACCCTTTTCTGCAGGAGCCCTGGGCGCCCCGTCTGGCCAGAGCCCTCGACGGCCACCCCAGAGCTGGTGGGCCCGTTCTGGTTCAGACCGTGCTTTTGTCGGGGTCGGTGACAGCTGTGTCACCGCAGCTGGCA